GGACGACTTATTTGAAAGTCGTCTGGGCAGACGACTTACGAGGGCTAGAAACGTAAAAAAAATTCGCGTTTTTTGTTTGTTCACAAGGAGTTGGTTGTAATTTCAATAGCCTTTTAAGTTACTTTTGCATTTGATTCAAGTTTGGGTTTACTTTTGCATTTCAAATCAAGTTTTGAGTCATATTTGGCAATTTTCCCGATTATTAATGGTAAAGCAAAGAGGAGACGATGTTAAAAAAAAAACAGAGGGGGGGGGGGAGAGAGGAAAATTACAACACAGCCTACATTCAAAATCGACAAGTTGTATGTAATATCATGTAACCAAACCGGATCAAACCGAACCTATCCAAACCAACACATATGAGAAGCAAATGAAATCAAGAGTTTGCCTCTTCCCACTCCTTGGTACTGAGAATTACAAACGCTATTGCATATCTTTTCATTCACATCCACTTCCCGGAGTGTGATATATTGACATGCCCATCTTCCTTTTATTTATTTATCACCCATCTATACATCAACTTCTATCTATTTGCTATCTTCATCAATATAATAGCTCATCTAGTAAAGAGATAGATATTTATGTTGATTAATTTTGATGGCTAGAAAACGGTAAGAAATGTATGAAATTGGCAGGACCAATGATTGGAGGATTGAGGTGGGCACAGATTGGTCAGTAATATCCCATGTGATTTCCACATGCTTCTCTATCTCTTACCCTCTTTCCATCCAGTTCTTTGTATTAAAAATATAATCAGTGTTTTTTTTTTCTGTCAAAAATCAGTGTTTTTCTTACTCTGAAATATACATCTATCACCACTGTATAGTTCTCATTTAACATCATAAATATATAAATAATCTTGACACTGTACGCAACTTAGAACAAAAGCTTTCTTTCTCAGATATTTTTTGTGCACTCAAGCTTTTCAATTCTTCGATAGTCTAAACCCCTACCTTTGATAACCAATTCTTAATCTAAATTTGCATATGACTGTTTCAGTTAGTATTTTCATTTCTTATTTGACTATTTGAAATAAAAGACAAATCAATTCACCCGTATGCACGCTCTAGATTACAAGATTCCTTTTGCATATATATGGACGATACATTATACATTATACATTTATGTTTAGCTTAGGTCAAAGGGAACCCAAGTAGTAAAATTGACGTAGCTTAAAAGTAATGCTATAGTTTTCTTCTTTTGTCATTAGTTTAAAACATTTTAGAAAGCATATTTTGCATGGGAGCAGGAACAACGGCAGTGCATGTTTCATCTTCTCGTTAAAATAGAATTTGTTGCTGAACTCGTTAACAAATGAGGTTCTACATCAACTCTTTTCACACACAAAAAAAAGGTTCTACATCGATAGTAAAAAAGAAGAAGTTAATTTATAATAATGGATACGGCCACTCGAATAAATTTAATGAGCTTTAAATTAGAAATGATTAGTATGAATTTCACATAATTTAATTAAAACTAGAATTTAGGGTGTAGGTAATCCTAAGATTTAATGTATATACTTATATATACGTATATATATGTATATGTGTATGAATGTGTATATATATACATGCATGCGTATATATATATATGTATATGTGTATGATTATGATATATTTATGAATATATGTATGTGTCTGTATATGTGCATGTATATATATGCATTTGAATATACGTATATTTATTATTTTTTAATGTGTATGTATCTATCTATATGTATATGTTTGACCAAAAAATATGTGCGTATTTTTATGTGTATATATATATATATATGTGTATGCATATGTATATATGTTTGCATATATGTATATGTGTTTGGGTTGTGTATTTATACATGAATATATATATATATATATATATATATATATATATATATATATATGTATGTATGTGTGTATGTAGTTGTCCAAAAAATTATATATTTTATACGTGTGTGATTCCAATGAATAAAATAATATGTTTTATTTGTTTTCACTAAGTATAAGTTTTATTTTATTTTGTTTGCACTAATTAAGAATCTAAGTTAAAGATAATTACCTTTTTAGGATTTTAAAATTTTGAAAACAAAGTTTTGAGATAAAAACATCTTTTTTTTTTTTGTGCAACAAAGGGTTTTCATTAAAGGGAGATCAGAGTTTAGACAGGCCCAACAATAGGGTTAATACAGAAGGATAGATGGGCTTTTGCGAGTAAATCAGCAGGCCCATTCGAAGCACGAGAAACAAAAGAAAAAACACAGGAAGAAAAAGGGGAAGATGCGGAGATAAAAACATCTAACAATAATAATAGGAGAATAATCTCAATACAGAGAGTGTCCACGTAAGATTAAAAAACCAATGAGGGGATTTTAATTTTCCATGTCATCCTAGCTGCTGAGTTCGGGTCATTCTTGCGACTCGCCGTCTCTGTTTCTCTTGCAAATTTTATCTTCTTGTCTCTTTACCTTCATGTTGTTCAATGTTTTCTTTAAATTCAGCAATAATTGTAATTCTGATTATATTTCAAAAGTTTCTCCCTCTTGACTCAAAATTAAAAGAGAATCTGAAAAATCTGATGATTGCATGGCAATTGCTAGATCCGCAACGGCACATTCATCAACGGCTCCGGCTATTCTCTTTCTCAAGTACATTCTTTCCGGAGGCCAAATCTGGAACGCCTCTTAATTGGTCTTGAGATGCCGATTCATCGAAAAGAACGATCAGCTCCAGCGTTCGAGGCTTATCTCTCGTGTACCTTTTAACCTTCTATTTTGCTTTTAGTTATTTGATTAATATAATTTTTTCCCATTGAATACATGTTTGAATCATTGACTGGAAAAAAAAGGAAAACACTTCTGTGTAGTGATTGTTCTGTGATGAGTGTTTTAATTTAAGGAAATCGGCCTGGTATGATTTGTTCATGGACCAAAGAAATAGAAAAAGCTGCTCGACTTTTGTCACTTTTTACAATTGTCTTAGCAAAAAAAAATTCCAGCTCATTGTGGGGTTGCATGATTAAGAAAAAATATATGAAAATGATTCCTTGAAACATTAAGTCATATATTAAACTTTTGCCTATTTGCTCACAATTGTAGTTTTTGAATTTTGAAGATTTGTTTGGTTAAAAATGGTTATGACTTGTGATGCAGGGAGGAGGATGGTCCAATACACAGAGGAGCTGTATCTACAGGAAAAACACACGCAGTGCCTCATCCAATCACATGGAGAAAATTTTGGCATTTACTGGAATCTTAAGCAACAAAGCTAATGAGAATCATGGTTTGTTGTCCAGAACTATATCATATGAGCTTTTATCATTTTCCTCCAGTGACTGAATATCTTTATTTCATGCAGACTTCTACAACTGGAACATAGTCAAATTGCGTTACTGTGATGGTGCCTCTTTCACAGGCGATAGTGGGGACCAGGTTAGTAGTCAAACAGTATATGCTCTCTCACTTCCCTTTCTCGTGGCTTATAAAATGTCAAGCGAAGGCTATTTGGTTTTTGTGTGTTTTGTTTTGCATAATTGATTTTTGAGTTGTGGTTTTGAATTACTGGATTTTAGCTTTGGGTTTAATCAAATAATAATGCATTTAGATTAAGTTTTTAATCGCTTTCTAAGTTCCTATGTATCTAACGTATTTTCTAACCAAGTCTGCATTGCGATCGCTTTGTTGCGCCATGGCGCAAGGCACACCCCACCTCGCCATTCAACGCCATGCACCATTTAAAACAAAGACTTCCTTATTTTGTATTCAGTTTGAGAGTTGAAAGCTGCTATGGACTGTACGTCATGAGAGCTCCAATCTTCAACATGTACACAAGGTGAGTGGGGAAGTTAATATGTATATATTTGTTATTTTACAGTTTCAGTCATGTTTTGCTTTCATAATATAAATAAATTATTGATTTTCCTAGCAGTTTCTTGATCTCGATTGAAAAATTATAAGAACCAAAAATTCCTTTATGTCTGTTTGTGATCTTCTAACGACTTGATCCTCATCTTTGGCTGGGCAGAAATTCATGCTGAGGCAGTTTGACCATCTCCAAGCTCTTGCAACCACAAACTTAGAACTCCCAGATTTGTTTCATATTTTCGTTAGGTTATTATTTTTACATATTATTCAAAATAAATAAGGTTTCGTCCTCACATGAATTTAGTATAATTAAACAGTAAAAATGGTCCAGAAAACAGTAAAAAGGTGATTTGCTAACAGTAAGAATCTGCAAATATCATGTGCATTTGATGCGTTTAATGTCATCATAAACCCAACCGGTTCTGAAAATGAAGAATTTGTAGTTTATAATATTGTGTTCATTTATTATTAATAATAATAAGTGTATTTTAAATCATACTGATAATAATAATAGGTGTATTTTTAAATGGGGTTTTAAATACGACTATCTGACTGAAGCAAATAAGAATCTAAACAAGTGTATTGATGGCTGTTATTTTCACGTGTATAAATTCTATTTATGTATTTTTAATCAAAC